CGAGGATAAAGCATTTAATAGGAGCCTGCTTTAAAGTCCTAAATCAGATATCTAAAAATAAGAGGGATACTATGTATTCTTGCTCGATTAGATGATTAATGTATATAGCAATATATATACAGTTTGGTATACTATACTGTAAAAGTTAATAATAATCAAATAAAAGGAGATGACTAAGAGGTTACCTTAATACTCAAAAAAAATAAATAAATAAACCAAGGTAGAATTGTCATCCACAATACTCAAATTCAATCTGGAATAACTATTCTCTGATAAACAGCTATTAATTAGAAGAGGTCAGGATAATATTATCTAATAATGGTTTTAAAATGTTTTCCACCAGAAGGCACCAAATATTACAATACTATGGCCTTTTTAATAGCAGTACTATAATAATGACATGGTTATAGGGATCCTTCACAGGTTTATAGTAGTGTCCAACAGATAAGTATAATTTCTGCCTCTTGGAGAAACTATACCTTTCTGTCTGTAACAGTTCGGGCAGACAATAGTTTATAGATAAAATATATATTTATTAGAGATAAATAAGATAGGCTATCCTTAGGTTTCTATTTTTAAAGAATCCTATAATATTATAAGAGAAAATTTAGAGAATAGGAAAGTTTGTATCTAAGGTGGACAATAAACAGATCTTCTGTTATTTCAGGTCTAATGTTAACTTAGGGAAATTTACAGCCTTTTTATATTTTTAGAGCTAATTATTAATTGCTGCAGCTAAGCATAGTTTACTTAGTGCTAAGCGCTAATTGTAATCACTAATCATTAAACATTAAATGTTAATCGTTAATTGCTAAATATAATTACTAATCACTAAGTGTAATCGTTAATCGCTAAACGTAATTGCTAATTGCTAATTGCTAATCATTAAGCATAATCACTAATTATTATAGCAGATTATAATAAAGTAAGATTATAATGAAATGAGCCTTTTTTTAGTATAACATGTCATGGGATTTCTGTGTAACATATCATAAGATTTCCTATATAACATGTTATGTGATTTCTCGTATGACATGTCACGAGATTTCCCGTATAACATGTCATAAGATTTTCCCTGTGATATGTTACGGGATTTCTCTGTGATATGTCATGGGATATCCATATAACATGTCACAGGATATCCATGTAACATATCACAAGATTTCTCTGTGACATGTCACGGGATTTTCCTGTGACATGTCATGAGATATCTGTGTGACATGTCACAGGATATCCCATGTAATGTATAGAAAATTTCATGTAACGAACATATATAAGGTTTGATTAGTAATACGAAATTAAGAAATAAATCATAGCCTATATAATAGAAAAGATCGTTATTTATAATTTCTATTACATATTATTTTTTTTGAATACTGCCATGCATTCGATTTGTATACCTCTTCGCTAGAATCGTTGTTGGTCTGTCATGGTTCTTGCCGTTGTACATTGAATTAATCTAGGCTTCTGCTTTCTGTATTTAAAGTTATTATTGATTACATTATTTAAATACAGTATGTTGTTATTGTACTCTTATTCCTTTAAATTTACCTTAAATCATTTCTACTTTTTAGGTCGTCATCGAATCTTCTTATTTTAAGTTGTATAGCTCTTCAACAAATTCGTCAAGGTAATACTCGCCGAATGGAAATAGATTGATGTTAGAATTCTGTTGAATATACTATTAATATTTATATTTATTTGAATTTACCAATTTAATCGTTTATTTCACGTTTAGATCTTTACAAACATTCTTATTTGAGTTGTAGGGCATTTCTACAAATATATCAAGGTAATATTTGTTAGAATTATATTGGATACACTGTTATTATGTTCTTATTCTTTTGATTTACCAATTTAATCATTTATTCCACTTTTAGGTCTTTACGAACGTTCTTATTTGAGTTGTAGGGTATTTCTACGAATATATTATGATAATATTTGTTAGAATTATATTGGATACATCGTTATTATGTTCTTATTCTTCTAATTTACTGATTTAATCATTCATTCCACTTTTAGGTCTTTACGAACGTTCTTATTTGAGTTGTGAGGCATTTCTACAAATATATCAAGGTAATATTCATTAGAATTATGTTGGATACACCATTATTATGTTCTTATTCTTTTGATTTACTGATTTAATTGTTCATTCTACTTTTAGGTCTTTATGAACATTCTTATTTGAGTTGTAGGGCATTTCTACAAATGTATCAAAGTAATATTCTTTAGTGAGTTTTGAAAGATTCAAAAATCAACTTGTATAAATAGCCTGTTGATATGTCTGATATTTGAATTGTGCCGATTTGACTTGATTATATATTAAGAAATTTTTGTCCAAGCCTTTAAGATTTTTTTAGCTTGCTCATATAATTTGGTTTTTGTATATTCTAAATCTTCAAAAAAAATGATTAGTTAGAATTCTCTTGGATACACCATTATTATGTGTATTATGTTCTTATTCTTTTGATTTACCGATTTAATTATTCATTCCACTTTTAGATTTTTATAAAAGTTCTTGCTTGAGTTGTATGGTACTTCAAATATATCAAGGTAATATTCGTTAGAATTCTGTGCTTGAAGTTGGATACACTGTTGTCATATTCTTATTCTTTCAATTTACCAATTTAATTGTTCGTTCTACTTTTTAGACCTTTATGAATGTTCTTATTTGAGTTGTATAGCCATTCTGCAATGCACCAAGGTAATATTCTTTGAATAGAATTAGATTGCAGTTAGAATATAAGGAAAATCTTTCATTTGCTATAATACTTATCTTTTAATTTCTTTTTGGTTTTCTAGGATTCTTTTTGCTATTGGATAATGTATTTGAACACTGTCATGTTAGTTCTCTGTTAAATGGTATACTTTTATTAGAACAATTTTATTACTATACATCTTATCTATTTAAACTTACTATCAATTTATACTAATTGAAATTATTTTCAGCTAGTGTATCTTTTGTATATAATTACCCATTGAAGCTGTATATTGTACTTTTTGCCTGTAAAGATTATCTTCACCAGTATATTATTCGTTTATTAAAGTTGTGTTAGTTGTTGATAATGTGTCACACTTCTTATGTAAAAGTTGTACATACATATTAGCCATCAAAGTCATCACTACCAGTGCTATCCTGTTATATCTCTACCTAGTGATGTCATTACTATTAGTAAATATATTATTTTATTCGTTTAAGTTACATTAGTTTTTGGTATCACACTTCTTACTTGTCAAGATTACTTTAGAGGAAGTTTTTAATTTTCACATGCCGAAGTCGTCGCGTCATTGTCTATCGATATCATTGTCACCAGTAAATTTTATTTATACATTTTCAATGTTATACTGATTGTTGGTATATATTTTTACCTTTATAATTGGTTTATCTAGTCTTTTTTTATCAAAGTTGTCGCTATTAGCAGCGTGTAATACTTCTTACTAGCAGATATCATCACTTTTAGTATGTTATTTTACTCTTTAAAGTCATGTCAGTTATTAACTTATCTTTTTAATATTTATGTTGTTATATGCAGTATTTCTATCCATCTCTCTGGTGTCATAATTCTTTATCTCTAAAGTGTTGATCTATCAAATAAAAAAAAATCAAAAAAAATCAAAAAAAAAAATTAAATCAAAAAAAATCAAAATTTAATGAGAAATCAAAAATTGAAAAAAAAAATACAAAGCCCAAATGAACAATCAAAAATCTAATAAAAAAAAAAGATAGGGGATCCTATTTATTCTGTATCATGTAATATATGTACACTTCAGTTCAGATGCATGTGTGCTAGTTCAAATTCATACGCTCCGGTTCAGGTCTACACGCGCCTGGTTTAGACTCATACGAAACATACTATGTAAGTATAACAATTCATTAATTCTTAATTTGTGATTCTATAACTTTTATTTTTTTCACATTGCTTATCTATTTTTTACTTGTTTATTAGCTTTCTACTTAGTTGTTCATTGATTTTCTAACTTTCATTTATATTCTAAAATAGTTAGACTTCCAAAAATACCAGATACACCTGAAGACTTTAATAACATAGTCAACTATCTTGAACACGGAATTTTTGCAGAAAAATACAACAGTACTTTGAAAAAATCAAATTTTCAAAGACGATGCAAGAATTTCATATATGATCAACAAACCAGCTATCTTTTTTTTAATCAACCGTCGAATAATAATTCTCCGTCTATTAAAAAGAGGATTGTCCTAACCTATGATTCTGAGTTGAAAAAAACTCTTTTTGAGAAGTTCCATGCTGGCTCTGCACATTTCGAGTATCATAAAACATTTGCAATGATTTACGAATGACACATTGATATTACCTAAGATGAAGTTAAAAAGTACGTGAATGAGTGCCCAACCTGCATCCGAAATGGAAGCATAAAGGAGAAGTCTGATTTAGTACCTGTTGTGTCCAGTGGCCCATTAGAACACCTTCAGGTCGATTTGGTTGACCTGCTATCATACGCTGAGTATAACAATGGGTATAGTTATGTTCTAACTTTAATCGATGTATTTTCACGTTATGTTTGGGCAATTCCCATTAAAGACAAGGAAGGAAATACAATTCATGCTGAATTGGTAAACATCTTTAAGAACTTTGGTCCTCCTACTAAGCTACAAGCAGATAACAGATCTGAGTTCATAATCAGGTAAAATATAATGGATTTTTATGTCCAATCTTGCAAAATGTTTTCAACTTTTAAAAAATTTAACAATTATTGGTTTTTATAGTATTTTAAAAAAAACCTGTAATGTATTTAAAATAAATCTTATTCACGGTCGCACTAGACACCCTCAAAGTCAAGGGAATATTGAGAAATTTAATCAAACACTCGACCGGCATCTAACAAAAATGATGTGGGATGATGTTTCTGGATTTTAGGGTTATCGTTGGATTAACGTTCTTCTGCAATTTGTTATTGCCTATAATAAGGCGCTCCATGAAACTCATAAAAAATCGCCATATGAGGTGTTTTTCAGCTTTAAAATGAGAGGACAATACATCGAGACCATTTTACCAGAGCACATTCCACTGGGGACCATTTCGTCGGAGACTATTTCACCAGGAACTATTTTACCAGAGACTATTTCGCCAGGAACTATTTTGCCAGGAACTATTTCACCAGGAACTATTTCGCCGGAGACCATTCCACCAGGAACACTGAAGCACATTCCACCAGAGAATGCTGCTTCTCAAGATAATAAAGCCTATATGAACTTTATGCAATGCAAGTAAAACGTGTGCATGATAAAGTTGTACAAAATGATGAAGCTTATCAAAATAAGCTGGTAATTCGCGGAAGTGTTCATAGAAGAAAAGTAACATTTGAACTGGGAGATAAAGTTGTGGTTGCACCTAATTTTGATAATAACCAAAAAATGCGAAAGCATAAGTTGGAACAGACCTGTAGTATTACTGAAAAGGTTGTCAGTGTGTGTAGTAATAATAGGACTGTTAGAGTTGATGTGAATGGCGAAATAAAAAATTTTGTTGCTAAAAATTTGAAGAAGCTTCGTAAATAGCCTAGAGTTCGCATAGTTAAAAAAAAAAATTGTATTAATTTTAGATATTAATAAAATTGTTACATTAAATGCAATTAATAATAGAAGATTCTGAATTCCTTTTTATTTTAAAAAAATCATGCTATAAATATTTATATTTGCATACTTGTACGAATGCAAAAAAATACAAACTTAATTTAATAATTTATATGAACTTTTCTTTGATTTTTATTATAAATAGTAATCCAAACATTAAATTCTAACCCTAAAATAAAATAATTAACTATAAAGAGCTATTATTCAACCCTTAAAAGTGCTGTTAAAATAATTATAGCACTCATAAAAAGCTATTACAGCCGTTTTTCACTAGATAGCTGTGCGTAAAATTAGGAACGGAAACAGAGGACAGAATCAATGCATTTGATACTATAAATTGCGCATAATTTTGATGCATTCCAGTGCTAATAGCACTGGATATTCAAACTTTATTATAGAGTTATAGCATACATCAGTTAGGATGATAAAAAAATGTTTTAAACAGTTTTTTAAACATTTTTTAATATTTTAAAACTTTTTTTAAAACATCAAAGTCTGAGATAAAATTTTGCTGAAAATGAAAAGAAATTTTTTTTAAAAAAAGCAATGCTATATAATTTCGAATTTATAAAAAAAATAAATTTATAAAAAATATATTTGATCACTTTAATTTTATCAATTATATTTTTAAATGTATAAATTTTCTATCAGCCAATTTTATTTGGTATTAGTTTTATGTTTGTAGTATTCAAAGTTCAAGTTTACAGTAATATCGCCACTATATAAACCTCATTAAATAAGTTGTTGTGAATGAATTATTAGAAAATTAGAAGGAATACAATAAATAAATAATTTATCTTTCTCATATTAATCCAACTGTATATGTCACTTGAAATAGAATAATAAACTTTTAATAAATCTCATTTCTTGGAAGTTTTTTAATCGATCAACTGAATCAACATTCTTCTTCATAATAATTGCATTTTTGGCATGACATTTTTTTTATCATATTTATTAGATTTAGCAACTTTTGTAAAATTTAAATGATTTCTTTAAAGATGTCTCCACGAGCATGAAATATTTGCTTTGAAGAATTTTTTATTTTTTTTTTTGATGTTAGCAATTATAAATACTAAATGACACAATCAGATCAAATTGTGTTATAATGTATTAAAACATTTTTTAACAACATAAATGCAACAGGAGGAACCGTTGATATATCACAAAATCATTACACAATTGATGAAAATTTTTTTATATTATTTTACAATACTTTTTTGGAAAGCTCACTTAACTTATCTTTTCTATGAATATTGAAAATGGTTAAACAAACATGAAGCTCTCACTTTGCTTTACAACATATTTTTTGAATCCCCTTGAATCCCATGCTTTCGTCTTTTTGTAAATTTTGCAATTTGATTGGTTGACTAATCCCGCAGTGATATTTTGACTGGTCGATACAATGAGTGATCTGTGTAATAGAGAATAAAAATCATATCTATATTTGGAAGGTTTCTCCTGTTCATAAATGCAGGTTGCCTGTTAGCCAGAAGCTTTGTAGTCCCATGATAGTTTCTGCATAATGCAGGTCAGCTATAAAGAGATGTTTAAGCTGCCACAAAATGGCAGAATTCTACTAAAAAAGGGTAGGGTCGAAAGTGATTTGCTTCTTGAAAAGTTTGCTGTCATGCTGCTTTGCCATTCTTCTGTTTTATATCTGTATGTTATTGTCAGCTAAATTTGATATATTAGTGTTCGTGCCATAAGCTCCTAAAGTAATTTCATTAAATTTATACTTATCTTCTCTCTTGCATATACCAGATTCTCTTGTTGGAGCCAGGATTACCCATGTAATCGTCACTTGCTAATGCATCATTGCTTAGCAGTCTTTTCGATCTGTCAACTTGAATGAAGATCTTACCCAGGATCGCCACAAAAATTCTACTATCACGTGACTGAATTGTTGTACATGAAAAAAATCTTTTAGTTCATTTAAGTTAGGGTTAGTTGGCTAGATATTAGCAGACATATAGCAAAATTGCTTAAAGAATTTTTTTGTTAAAGCACAAAAGGTAGTTTCTTATACAAATTTTTGAGAATTAACGATTTTTTAAAAAACGATCATTTTGTTTTGATCTTTTTGATTGTGTAATATTACATCAAAGCAAGGCTTGCTATTATATAAGCATTTATAGATCTTCATATGACAGTAGAATTTTTGTAGTGATCCTGGTGTAGTTTTGAAAGAAGACAGCAGTCATATGAGTTTTAACCAATTATCGCTGTAATATAAAAACAATAATTGTAGCAGATTACAATGAAATTAGATTGTAATAATAGGCTTATAGGTAGCCATGACAAGTCTGAAACTTAAACTAACTAATATATTGCATATTCTAAATAAAGTTAGATAGATTAGCATAGGAAACTTATATTAGAGAATTTAAATAAAAAATCTACAAGCAGATCTTAGCTATAGCATATAGAAGACAACTATAAATAAAAATAAATATAGTAAAGTCTTTAAATAAATAATAACTAAAGTTGTATGTGTGTTTATATATATTCTTATCAAAATGTACTTGTCTGGAACCTATTGAATAAAGCATTATATAATCTTACAATCTAATAAAAATAATAAGCTGAAGAAGTTAATCTTGATTATAAAAAAAATTATATATATATAATTTTAGAATCTTATATATTTTTTATTTTATTATTTTTTTAATACTTTATTATTAAATTTAAATCAAATTTAAAGTATTAGAAAAGAAAACTTTAACTAATTTTAGCTATTAATTTACCTAAACTATTTTATTTATAGATTATTTTTTTATTTTTTATAGTCATAGTTGGCCTTTTTGGCTTATTGCTTTTATTAGATTGTAGGATCATATGGTGTCTTTTTAAGGAGGCTTTAGACAAATACATTTGACAAAGATACATATAGATATATATATAACTTTAGTCATTACCTAGTCAGCCGTAATGTCGTACAGATCATTTTTAATATGGTATCAAATGATTGACGCACCTAAATTTTATATGTAAAATTTCAAAAAATTTTGCATTCTAGGTTTATTTAATAATAAAAAACTTGTCTGCTTAATTTCTAGATATCATTTGCAGATTATCTAGCATTCGAAGGTTC